TATATATATATATATTATGACGTGACGTTTTTTACCGCCCGTCACAAGGGTCATTCGGCCTGACCGAAGTTGCGCGGCAAATTTGTCCTGTGTCCTCCCGACGCGGAGGGCGGGCGTGCCGACGCTTATTGCGATTTTTGAGCGATAATTTTGAGATTTTCGTCATTGCGTCTCGCGTAATATTATTATTTCTTTTTGTAAGTTTAATTTTAAAGTCAATAATGACATACTAAAATTAATCCTTGATTCGACTTGATTTATATGAAAAATTAAAGAGTAAGTACATAATATACGTCTGATCTTAGTTTTTGAAATTATTCCAGCGCAAAAATTGGAAAAAATGTTGAGAATTTTATTTTAAGAAAACAATGCAGTGTAAGAAACATACGTCTCAAGATTCATTTTATATAGTTTGAAAATATATTACAATAATTGTATTAGGTGTTGAACTTAATTCGCCGCTCGCTACTAGAGATTGCTGGCTCCAACGCTGGCGAGTTTCGACGATGAAGTCATATGTCTTTTGTAGTTTAGACCATCGCTGAAAGTGACTCAAACCTCACAGGTTAGATTTCTCGACGCCAAAGAGATTTTCCAATCGATTGAAAATGTAGCCAACAATCGACGCAAAGTCATTTTGTTGCATGATAACGCTCGACCGCATGTCGCGAAAAGCGTGAAGCAGACACTTCTAGAGCTTGAATGGGAAGTTCTCCCGCATCCAGCGTACTCTCTAGACTTGGCACCGTCGGATTACCATCTCTTCCGAGCAACACGCACTTACGGATACACACTTCTCCAGTTACAACGAAGTCCAAAAATGGGTGGATGAATAGATCGCCTCGAAAGACACCGCGTTCTACCGTCGTGGGATTGCCCTGTTGCCAGAGAGATGGGAAAAAGTAGTAGAAAATGGAGGAAATTACTTTGATTAAGATATTCATTCATCTTCCCTCCGAAACAAATCAATTTTGGAAACGAAAAAACGGTAGGAATTAAGTTCAACACCTAATATTTACTGCATTTTGTATGTGGCATTAACTGTACTTGTGCATAAAAAGATCTTCGAGCATTTGTTCTAGAATGACCTATATCATTTGTGTACAATTAATTCTTGTATTCCAGCTTGTGAAACACATTTTCTTTTATATTTTAAAGCGTACATAAAAGAAAATTATGTAATTTCTCTATATATATCTTTTTCACAGATGATGATGCCTACAGCATACAATATATAAAACTCCTTATCCGGAATGGATTATTTGTCATAAATGGAAAAGATCAGGAAATTAAGGAAATATATCGTGTTATTGGAAATAAGTAAGTAGAAAGTAGAATATACATATATGTTGTTGAAACGGCGTAATTAGGAAATAAAAATGAGTGTGAGCCGCATAAAAAATTTCCTTAAAAGCAAGATAGTTGTAAGACAATGTAAAAATATCTGTATATTTTTAATTACAGAGAAGAAATAATATACCACGCTAATATCTACAATCTAGGACGGACTGATAATCAGCAATTAGCAGAATGTGATAAAGAAAATGATGTAACAAATTACTTATTAAATTTGAATCACAGGACTGTAGTCAAAAGAGTACTAGTAAATTGAATACAGCTTTTTTAGTACTTCAGCGCAATACATATGACAATACTGCAACAACATATGAAACAAGATATGCGTTAATTTTAAAATTCGAATTGAAAGTTTTTACCATAATTTTGATGAAAAGATAGAAAATATA